ACAACAAATAGTTATTTACTAGTAAACAACCAGCATCTCAATAGTATGAGCAGCGATAAGCATAGCCTATATAAGCAACTGGAACAATAGCCTCGGGGTCACTTTATCATTATCGACTGCCGAGTAAGAAGTTACCACTTGTAACACTTGTACAGTTTAAGTGTAATATATTCAATATTGAAGTACATGTGTATACGCTGAAATATTATACAAATAAAGGAGCAATCAGAACCAATCTCATTAGCTCATTTAAAACTATGTATTTATTTTATTCCTAACGAGTAAATAAATTAACTGGCGCCCAACGTGGGGCAGCAACAAAAAAGATCATCAATAATATCCTTAGTCAGTCTGCCTGAAAGGGAAGAACTTAGTCCCTGGAAACAAAAAAATTAAATTCAAGAAGTTTACCAGTGCATCATCCCACACAACGTCGATCAAAAGAGATTCACATAAAAATCCTCATACGACAACAAATTGAAAATAAAGGATCAATATACCATCCTTGGCAAACAACACGCTTTCATAGAAAGAATACCATATAAAGCAGCGCTCCAAGAATACAACTGGAGACCGATCTTTAGTAAAATAAATCAACAAATAAATCAACAAGATGACAGTACAAGCAAATTTAATTGCATTAACCAACGCAGTCGCCGATCTGCAACGACAGTTATCCGAACTACAATTAGGAAGAAGTGCAACCATTCCACAACGAACAGAACAAATATGTTCTTACACCAGACCAGAAGAAGTGGATCTGAATATGTTTAAATCAATAACACAATTTAATGGTGATTTCAACGAATACAGGAATTGGAGGAAAGTAGCAACCACATTAATGGAGGACATACAAAAAATCGAAGGACATAATATATATGCCCAAGCATTAATAATGATCAGAGGAAAAATTACTGACAAAGCAGCACAGATCCTGATCAACCACAACGTAAAGAGAAACTTCCAAGACATCATCGATAGGCTACACGACTCCTATGCCGACAAACGACCAATATACGTTCTGGAAGAAGATATGACGAAAATACAACAAAAAGAACTACCACTGCATGTATATTATGACAATCTGAACCAAGCATTGAATGTAGTGCTATCCAAGGTTGAGATGACACGCAAGAAAGAACGAATAGTCCAAGTATTGACACAAGAAATCCAAGCTAAAGCAATCAAAACATTCGTCACTGGACTGAGAAGTGTAGCTATGCCATCTATGTACAACATTAGCAGATGCCTACAGTATCGCCCGTACAAGCAACATGAGTCACGCCATCAGAACCTCGAGTACATTCCACGATACAACCATCATCAGAATCATAATTTCCGCAATCAACAACAGAATAATTATTCTTGTCAACAATAACCCCCAACCAATTGAACCAATGGATATCGATTCATCCACCATATTCCATAGACCAACGAAACAAGGTTACAACAAGAATCAGCAACAACCACCACGAAATCCGCATCCTAGACAGAATTATCAAAATCCTTTTAAGAAAGTAGCAGGAGCATTGGGATACAAACGAGAACGAGATAATACAAGTCGATTTTAGAACTCGATACCTTACAAGATTTCGATTTCTTGATAGGAATTAAAGGTGAAATGAAAGCAATGATAGATACAAAAATGTATTAATTGTGAAAAAGAATAAATTAACAAGAATAAATTATATGATAGGAAAAGAAATGTATAAAAAAGAAATAAATAAATTAATGAAAAGAAATGAGCAGAGTAAAACATTACCCTACGTAACTACAGTTGAGGCAGGAATTAGAACTGAAACAAATAATCCTATTTGGGTCACACAGTATCCACACCCCCAAGCGGATAGAGCATTTGTAGAAACTGAAATAAAACAAGTAAGAAAGGGCTAAGTTCGGATGTAACCGAACATTTTATACTCTCGCAAAGTCAAATGGTATACTCGTTTGAGATTTCTTTGTGGATTGACTGCTATTATCGGTAGAAGGTCAATTATAGGCACTGGGGTCCACATATTTAGTACTTAGGGGCTTGAACAGTTTTGGTTCGATTTAGACAAGTTTTGGTCACAAGGTGGCATAGTTTAAACGTATTATTCACGCAAAGGTTTACCCCGATATAATAATTTTTGCTTGATATGCATAGTGGAAAGTGACAGAATCAGATGGAATGGAAAATGGTGTTATATGGGAAATAGGCGTGGTTGTAGTCCGATTTCGCCCATTTTCGCACTATAACATAGAAATATAAAAATAACGTTATGCGCCGAATTTAGTTAAAATCGGTGAAGCAGATCCCAATATATGAGTTTTCACCTACAAGTGGGCGGTGCCACGCCCACTGACTTATTTTGAACGCGGTTCCTGTAATTTCATCTCATACCATCCCAGAGATAAAATTTAATGTCTCTGGCGTTTTTAGTGCCCCGATTTCAACTATTTTCACACTGTAGGTAGAGGTTCTAAAAACATTTGCTTCCAGTGAATTTTGTTATTATAGCGTTAGCGGTTTAGGAGATATGCACATTAAACCTATTAGGGGCGGGGCCACGCCCACATTAAAAAAAATGTTAACTACAGATGTCCCTCCTTAATGTGATCCTGTGTACCAAATAACAGTCTTGTATCTTATTGCGGAGCTTAGTTATGGCAAATTATTTGTTTTTGATTAATGTCGTTTTGTGGGCGTGGCAGTGGTCCGATTACGCCCATCTGCAACACCAACCGTCTCACGGTACCAAGAAACATGTCTACCAAGTTTCATAAAGATATCTCAATTTTTACTCAAGTTAGAGCTTGCACGGACGGACGGACGGAATTTAACTCGTTGCGAGAGTATAAAAATTATTAGATAATGAAATAATACAGCCAAGCAAAAGCCCGTACAATTCACCCATATGGATAGTTTCTTAAAAAGGGAATGACGAGCAAGGCAACCCAAAAAGGGGCATGGTTATTGACTTCCAGAAGTTAAATGCGGAAACAATCGCTGATAGATATCGCATTCCGGACATCACCATGATGCTCCAAAACTTAGGAGAAGCACAGTACTTCACGACGTTATATATTGAACATTCAATGACCGCAGCAAACCATTCAACATCGAACGCTCAAGTTGAACGGCTGCATTCAACCATTCTGGAAATTACTAGATTCGCATTAAACAAAATAAATCAACCGCCACTGAAGAACTATTCAACGTAATCAAGGAATACAATAGGATAATACATTCCGTCACAAAAAGGAAACCTATCGAATTATTTTTTGAAAGGAGCAAGACTGAAGGAATAAAAGAACTGATCGAAAATAAGCAGGAGTATATGCTATCATACCACAATAAAAAACGAAAACAAAAGGAATATAAAACAGGACAAACAGTTTATGTGAAACAAAACCGACGAAATAAAACAAATCCAGGCTATTTGAAGAAAACAGTACAAGAGAATCGTGAGGACACAATTTTAACAACGGAGGGGAAGATCATACACAAGGACAACCTCAGAAACAATGATGAAGATAACGCTAACATTAATCCTAGCAACATCCTTAGCTCAGGAAATAACCGACTTACAAGATCGCAAGTACGTGTTAACCGAGACTGACCCATCATTTTTGTAACAAGAACATGAGTACCTATTCCATATGACGAACTTAAGCAAAATACTTAAACCATACTACGAGATCGCCGAACATAAAGGAGAGATGCCTAGTGAAGACGCAACAGAAACAGCATTGTTCAACAGAATAGAAATCCTCAGAAAACAACTACTGAATAATGGACGAGCCAGACGCTCAAGACGATCTTTTGATATCTAAGGATCGATTTTGAAATTTATCACAGGAGTCCCAGACCACGACGACCTGATTGAAATTAAAGACAAATTAATTCCAACTTTGAAATAATGATGAAAGCATTTAATATTGAGACGATTAAACAAAAGGTTATATTGCAAGAATTATACAAGGAGTTATTTGACTTAACTGCGACAATTAATTTCGCGAACAACGGAAATTTTTATTCAGCGGCAATAAATACGGACGAGATTGGAAGGACATTAGAAAAGGAACAAACTAGTATACCGGTTATTGACATACTCGAAAATGCAGACACGCATGTAGGTAGATCAGACGACACTTTCATTGTAATTTATAAATATCCAGTCATTAAAAAGAAATGCACAACATACAAAGTTACTCCATTATCCTATCGTCAAGGCATTTTGGATATGAATAAAATCGTAAGTAAATGTGAAGATAAAATAATAATAACATCTAAATGTAAAAATAATTTAAGTAAATATATTTGTAAACAAGAACCTAATGACAATTGTACAATACCAATGATCGAAGGTTACGAAGCGTTGTTATCTAAGAAAATAACGCACCTATTATAGATTTAGGACATGGTAATGTCGTATTACAAGGAAAACATATTTTAAACGAAAAATCAATTGAAGGATTGAATTTAATCCAATTTAATGAAACAATTATTATTGACTCAGAAGTATTCCACAACCAGGAACAAGAAATTAAAGAGTATATTATAGCTAATGGAAACGAAAGAATTCACATTCTTGAAATATTGGAATCAGAAAACGAATATCAATTTGACAACATTAAAAAATTAAATAAATTTTTAATACCATTTGAAGAACACTCAATCAAAAATATGTTCATAACTATAGGAGTACTTGTAGTCCTAGGATTAAGTATATTTGTAATATTCAAACTATATATAATTTATCAAAAAACTGTATATCTGAGAAACAACAACGCTACCATAGAACGTGTAGGAATGACTCATCTACTCAAGACTCAAGTATAGATCAGGAGATCTATTTTTCACAAGAGAGGGGAGAGTTAATACTTTAACCTTTAACCACAACCTTATATTTCAGGAAATATTAAAGAAAAATCATCAAAACAACTTTATCTTAGAACAATAGAAGCGCACTATCAGTACAACAAATAGTTATTTACTAGTAAACAACCAGCATCTCAATAGTATGAGCAGCGATAGGCATAGCCTATATAAGCAACTGGAACAATAGCCTCGGGGTCACTTTATCATTATCGACTGCCGAGTAACAAGTTACCACTTGTAACACGTGTACAGTTTAAGTGTAATATATTCAATATTGAAGTACATGTGTATACGGTGAAATATTTATTATACAAATAAAGGAGCAGTCAGAACCAATCTCATTGGCTGACTTAAAATAATATATTTATTTTATTCCTAACGAGTAAATAAATTAACTCGCAGAAGATTAGTCGTAATCGAACGTTGACGTAGCGTTCAGGCCTGTTGACGAAGCCAATGTGGTGTATCGGTGATCCAATCGCTTTTACTTAGTTTTTAGTGTACAGTCGCGTTGTTGTGGTGTGTTCTGTTGTACCGTGTGGTGCGCCAGTTTATTTCCCGGTAAAGTTATGTTGTGTGTACTGCAAGGATAGGCTTAACTCATTTAAACATCCTGGGCCCCCTAGGCGAGTACTTTGCCTAGTGTTATACATATTTGCTGTAAACGTTCCAGGTATCTTGGCGTATTGCTGTTGGAGTAGCCGGGGGCGCGACTTGCATGATAATGCAGTAGTGGTATATACATATTTACCTGTAGGTATAAGAGTCGATTTTGGTTTTTAATCAAAATTTTTATTTTGATGTTGGTACTAGTACTTTATTGTGCATGAGGGGGTCATAATGATAAAACCTTAATATTTGACTTGACGAGTTATTATTATATGATACTCGAAAACACGTTATTTTTAATGGCGGATATTTATTATTTCCTAATTATTGGCTTATAGGATAGCGACTCCTGAAAGTATGCCCTGGAGTTAGGGCTGTGAAAATATAGGGATCTTGCGAGAGTACAGGGATTGGCTGTGAATTGAGAACGTCGCCTTTTCGAGTAAGTAATGTAGTAAATTCGATATATGTATTAATATTTGTAGTATCCATTTAATTTTTTGAAGTAGGATTTGAAGCTTTTTATAGCTGATTCCCATAAACCATCCATATGAAAAGCGCTTATATTGTTCTATAAATTTGTGATATTTTTTTTCTTAAACAATTATATTATATGTTATATTTAAGGTCATATGCACTGATTTACCAAGTAGTGGCGCGCCACATAGCTCAAGATTTTTGAATCAGGATTTTTGTATGATTATTGGCGAAAACCATTCTGCAGGGTTGAAATTTTGCCACAGAAGATAAAATATGCCTCTTCGTTATTGATTTCGCATTTCATTGGATTCCCTGTGCTTTTGTACAACTTTTCGAATTTAAGGAACTTAAAATTTCAAATTTTCTTTTGGAATATTAATATATTTGGGTGACATGGTTGGATTACATACATCTGTGTTTTGAACACTGGGATTGTCAGAAGAAATTCTGACTTCTGAGTGTTGGGAAATTTAGTGGTAGTCGACGTACCGGCCATTATTTGATCGAGTAGTTGTTGATCTGGAAAAGACTTTTCCTAATTATCAAAATTATCCTAATTGGGAATAAAGGTATTGGTTTGAATTATCTTCAACTTGAGTTGGTAATGTCGAAAGTGTTTCTTTAACTTGTTAATAATTAGTATACAACCAAAAATAGTGTTTTGAGCTTAAAGTGTGTTTGAAATTTTTTCAACACTTTCTAGTAGTGTTTCGGGTATTAGGGCTTTGCCTAATAGAATATCTATCTGATCGGGGGTATTCCAGTTGGAATCTGCTAGATTTAGGCGTGAAACCTTTTACCAATGCTTGCTTTTTACCTATATGATAGCCTATGTTCCTATGACCTTTAGGGCCATGGGGCAGATTTTATATGAATTTTAAACTACTCTTCCCATTCCCGTAATTTCAAAGTTGGCCTGTTTTGTTGGCAGTTGTAGCCTATTTTGGGCCCTAGACGCAATAAATGATCGTTATGATCCTTAGTCTATTAAGGCTCTAAGATGGAAAAGTTCTGCACGGTGTTTGATGGAGATACGGGTTATCTCTCTTTTCTCTCTTTGAATTTTTTTGCAATTTTTATGAGTATGCGCATGTTACAAGCAATTTGTACATAATCTTTTTGATCTTATAAAATTGTTTTTTTCGTTAAATTATAATTTTTTAAATTTCTCGCAAGATTGTAATTTATATCCTCTTGTGTGCAGTTCTCAAGACGTATGTTTTTTCTGTTCGGATGTAAACGATTGAGTTTTGTAACAGCTTCTGTTCATATTGTTGTTGTTTGCAGCTTGGTTTCTTTTAAAGCTTCTATTGTTTTGGCACTTTCTTGGACTGTGTAAATATTTATGAAGTCGGTTAACAATCCCGTATACTCCCTATATAACTCTTTTGTTAAAAACTACTAGCACAATTTTAAATTCCATATAATTCTTTCACTTTCCAGTATACAAATCAAGCTCCAAATAATATATTAAGATAAAACTTTGCACAAATAGAGCTTTTGAGGCATACCATCTTACCATCACCAGTTACGGAATATAGGGACCCCAGTGCTTGGTGCTAACTTTTTACCGGAAATAGCGGTCAATCTGTGAGATATATTATTGCAATTCGGAGAGAGTCTCTTTCTGATCATAGTATGCAAGTATGTCAAAAATAGATTGAGTTGCTTTAATACTTTCAGTAGCCCCCATATACATTATCGAAATATTTTCGAACTTCCGGTTCATTTCATACCGGATATACTATAGTTTAACATATAATATTTATAATATACATATATTATACAATATATATATATAATATATATAACTATAGTTTAATGCCGAAAATAAGCGAATTTAGTCTAAGAATACCCCAACTTCCAAGTACTACCTATATTGGTTTTCGTTATTCTAAAAAACCTTATGCCGAACATGTAGTTCAAAGTGTATATTATACAAGTATATTTATAAAATTACTTGAAAATATGAAGTATACCTCAGCAATGTCAAAATCAAATTCAATCAGCCCATCTTTTTCTCTGTCTCCAATATAGTCTGTATAATAATTTGCGACTTTCCACCTGACAAAATGTGTGATACTTTATTATAATATAATTAAATGAAGAAGTTTTCTTAAAAATTGTGTGGGAATATGGATGAAGTTAGTCTACACTTTTGTCCAAACCTTGTATCCCTAAAATAAGGAATTGCGATCCTCTGCTTGACGTTTTCATATCAACTCATCATATTAAATTTTGCTTCTTCAGTTGAGTTTATATTCCATATATCTCATTTGAAGATGATTTTAATACAAATTTAGCAGACGGGATGTAAAATATAGTAATAAAACTAATTGAGTGTGTCACCTATAATATAACTTAATAAAATACAAATTTGATTGTAATCCATAGATGTTTTCGTCGAATAATGAATGTTTAATTGTTTCGCAACATTTTTTAATATAAAGTTTTCTTAAAACCTGAGGGTAATTTGCTTTGATCCTTGCAAGTGTATGAAATATTCGGTTCCACCCGAACTTAGCCCTTCCTTATATGTTTTTGTTTTTGTAAATTCCTTTGCTCCTATATCCACCTGTTAGGCGCCTTGTGCGTGTTTTTGCAATTACATGTTTTTATCCGTGCCCGTTTAAGTTTTTTGTATTACAAGTATACAAGTATTTACATATGTATGTTTTGTAATTAGGTGTTTTAGATTCCCGCGTCTGTTAGTGTTTATTGTTTTTATACTCTCGCTACATATTGCTACTGAGATTAATAGTTTTGTTCACCTAACGGTTGTTTGTATCACCTAAAACTAATCGAGTTAGATGTAGGGTTTAATATATATAAATAATCAGGATGAAGAGACGAGTTGAAATCCGGGTGACTGTCTTTTCGTCCGTGCAAGCTGTAACTTAAGTAAAAATTGAGATATCTTTATGAAACTTGGTACACATATTTCTTTGTACCGTAAGACGTAAGACGTAGTGCAAATGGGCGTTATCGGACCACTGCCACGCCCACAAAACGCCATTAATCAAAAACAAATAAATGCCATAACTAAGCTCCATAATAAGATACAAAACTGTTATTTGGTATACAGGATCACATTAGAGAGCGGCATCTGTAGTAGAATTAATGTGCATATCTTCCAAACCACTAAAGCTATAACAACAAAATTCACTGAAAACAAACGCTTTTAGCACCTCTATCGACAGTGTGAATGGGTGAAATCGGGTAACAACCCCGCCCACTCCCCATATAACGCTACTGGTAAAAACTACTAAAAGCGCTATAAATCAAGAACTAAATACGCCAGAGCCATTAAATTTTATCACTGAGATTTTATGAGTTGACTTTGTAGGAACCGAAATCAAAGTTAGACAGTGAGCGTGGCACCGCCCAACATTCGGTACACAACATTCTTCTCATATTTCTATGTTATAATGCGAAAAAGGGCGAAATCTTACTACAACTACGCTTATTTCCCATATAACCCATTTAAAATTCCATCTAATTCGTTCACTTTACACTATACAAATAAAGCAACAATGATTGCGTGAATAATGAATTTAAAGTATGCCAAGTTGTGACCAAAAATTGTCTAAACCGAACAAAAACTGGTCAAGCCCCTAGGTACTGAATTTGTGGACCCCAGTGCCTATAGTTGCCTTTTTACCGAAAATATCGGTCAATGTGTAAGACATTTAATTGAAATTCATATAATAAAATAGATAAATCAAACTCTCGATAAAAGTATGTTTGTGTCAAAAAATGGGTTCAATCGAATCAATACTTCCTATAGCCCTCATATACCTAATATAAAGATTTTTGAACTTCTGGGTGACTTTATACCGCATATATCAGCCAATATGTGAGTTATCTCAATGAAAATGAGAGAACATGTTTTACTCATAACAAGGTATTTTTGTGCCTAAATTGGATGAAATAGAGTGAAAATTTTACTTGGCCCCCATGTAACTAATATCAGGATTTTCGAACATTCGTCTGACTTTACTCCATATGATTGGTGATGGTATGTGAGGTACCTTAATTAAATAGTGGGAGCATTTTATTAGTCTGTGGCATGTTAGTAGTATGTAGTATTAGCAAAAATTGATGAAATCGGGTTAAGGCTACCCTCTACTTCCATATACTACTTATAATACTTCTCGTATGTCGGTCAGTGAGTATTAACATTATTTTTAGATATAAAATATCTTTCTCTATCCCAAATATATACATATATGATTTCCGTCTTTCCTCTTGACTTTAAACCGTTCCGGTTGATCAAAATGTGATATTTTAATGTAATTAAGTGGATAAGTATTCTTAAAAATTATTTGGTTTGACGCTGAATTAGAATGAAAATAGTATATACCTGGATCTAAACCTTACTCCTTCATATAATGAATTCCGATTCTCTGGTTGACGTTTTCCACACAAGCTTATAATATAAAATTTAGCCACTTTGGTCGAATTAATATCACATTCATACTTATGTATATCTCAATTGAAAATGTTGTTTTTTTTTTTNAATAGAATTTTCGCTGACTCAAACTAAAATATAGCAAAAAAACTGAGACTAAGTTTATGGCCTTTAATATAAGTCAAGAAGATACCAAATTTGATTGTAATTTAATCACGATTTCATTTAATAACGGATGTTTAATTCTTTCTCAACTTTGCCACACCTGAAGGAATTTCCTGGCCTTTGATTCTTGCGAATTACAAGGGTATAAAATTCTTGGTTCCGCCCTAGTAATCATTATCGGGTATTGACCCTAGCTCCAACATACTTTATGTGAAAAGTTCAAACTTTCGTTTGGCTTTATATAAACGTAAAATATTAGGTATACAACAGTTTAATGCCGAAAATGTGTGAAATCGATCCACGAATTTCCCCAGCATACATGTACTACTTATGGTATAATTTATTTCGTTAATTTTATAATTTAATGGACAGTTTTTCTTAAAAAT